CCATTCATCCATTCATGCAAACTTTATTTATACAGGTTAGTCTCATTGAATCAAGGAGGACTCATTTACAAGAAAGACCTGTTTTAAACAAAAGCCACAGATGAGGTACACACAACGATAAAACAATCATAAAAAATCATTTAAAATGAAAAGTAAAGAAAATAAGTAATCTAAAACGAAATAAAAAAAACATGCTACATTATGAAACGGTGTATATTACTAAAAACAGGAACATGTCTGCATTGATTTTTGAATTGAACTTAACAGTTGTTTAAAATCCCTTAGATAGGTCAAAGTGGACAGCTTCAGATCTTTTTGTAAGGTGTTCCAGGATACAGGAGTGGAGTAGGAAAAGGCCCTTTTGCCAAATTTGGTTCGCACTGAGGGGACGCTGCAGGTAATTGTCATGAGAGCGCACGCAGTAGCTGCACTGATAAAGTGACATGTAGGAGGAGATGTATGAAGGCAGCAGACCAAGAAGTGATTTAAAGATGAAAATATACCAGTGTGAGAGTCTGCTAATGGTGACCAGTTAACCAGTGAATACAGAGTGCAATGATGGGTACGGTAGTTACACCCAGTTATGAATCTTACCGCACCATGATAAACAGCGTCCAACATCTGTAAGGTGCTTGCAGGAGCATTCATGTAAATAATGTCACCGTAGTCAATGGAGAGACAGAACGTAGTAGTTACAAGGTGTTTCCTAGCATTCAGAGTTAGACAGGATCTATATGCTTTCTGTTGTTTTTTCATATTGCTTAAAAGTATAGTTTCCTCAAATGATTAATTGGAGGGGTGACAAACTCTGTTTTCTTTTTACTGAAAGGATCAGTACACACAGTTAATTGATCCTAGGCAACACTAAAATGGCTTTACTCAGTCAATTTTGCAGATACTGAACTATTTATGGTGTAATAATAGCTGAGGGTCATCCTCAACATATCCTTATGTCCAGAGAGAGACAAAACATTAAACTAATCAAAGAACTGAATAGAAGATGTGATATTTTTTTAAGAACACCATTCAACCTGGGAAAACCTCCACCACTTTTTTAGTATTCACAGGGGTATCTTGTTGCTTTGTGTTTATGATTTATTACATCTACCTGCTGTAATGCTCCTCAGCAGTTATATTTGTAGCCATGAAACAAACAGTAATGGGCCATGAATGTTAAGTAATGTGCATATTTATGCCTCAAATGCCATCAGTGTATATATTCAGTCTGTCTTTGAACAGAATGAGCTGCAGGAATCTGTTGTTGCTCAGTGTGATCTCTGATGTATTCAGAGCCTAAATTACCTGCCAGAAGAATTACTCTCAACATCTTATCTCGAACACCTCAGGACACACTCTGTATGCACCTCCGTGCACAGGGAGGGTAAAGAAGCTACAGAGATGAACAGAGGACGTGTTATAAAGTGTGTTTTTATTTTGACAAGGATAAATCTTTAGTCAAACAGAAAGGCAGTGGTAGTTTGAGGAGACGCGTGTGATCCTATTTCACAACATTTGATTGGTTACTGCTCAACAACCCTTACTTGTTAGCAAGTTGTGCTTATGCGTACTTTCCCAATCTGTAACTTCTTTATGTGATCTCTAGCCAGACTTTTATTCAAAGTTTCCTCTTCTTATTTTGATATTTGCCATTTGTGGACGTGAGGGAAGCTATGAAGAGAATGAGGAGTGTTCCAGATATGATACCAGTGGAGGAATTGAGATGACCAGGTGAGAGGGCAGTGTGCTTTCAAACCGGATTAGTTAACATAATTCTAGAGTGATAGGAGGCCTGAAGAATGGAGAGCAAGAGTACCAGTGCCGATTTTTAAGAACAAGGTGGGTATGCAGAGCCGTTGTAATCCATATCATGAAGACATAGGAAACATTTGTTGAAGCCAGGTCAAGAAGTGATGTATATGTGAGACATCACATATGTTTTGAGAAGGTTGATGGAGACGTACAATGAAGGTCAGAAGGAGTCACGTCATCTCTTCATGAATGTAGAGAAAGCCAGTGATAGGGTATCAATAGAGGAGCTGTGGTACTGTATGAGGAAGGTAGATGCGGCAAAGAAAGTATGTGAGGCCAGTGCAGGACACATACAAGGACAATGTAGTGGTGAAATGTGCAAACAAAGGTGGAGGTGGGATTACATCAGGTATCAGCTCTGAGCTCAACCTTGTTTACAGTGGTGTTGGACAGGTTGAAGGATGAGGTCAGGCAGGAGTTCCCCTTGATTACCCGGTATGATGTTTGCAGATGACTTGTGATCTGTAGAGAGAGTAGGTGTCACGATCCGTCAGGGGGAAGAGGTTGAACCCACTTGCAGGAGGACCTGGTCCCAGTGGGGAGGTGCTGGACCCACACGCAGGAGGACCGGATGGCTCGGAGAAACAAAAACAGGAATTAAAAGATTCTGCACTACCATAAACACAGAAATAGTGGCTGGGGCAGCGAGAACTTACCTAGCCCCCAGAGGGGGGCCCCAGTGCAGACAGCGCAGGTGCATGGACAAGGACAGGCCGAACAGAACCACAGATTGTGACACCATGGGAGGACAATGCTCAAATCAAGCTGGGTGTGCAGCTCTCAGACTAAACACTGGATGCTAATGAGGTAATCAGGAAACACTTGCAGACACTTGGATGAGAACCAGGTGAGATGGTCACATACCTCCTCCTCTATGGATGGCATCTGACATCCCCAAAGGAGGGCTCTACAAAGAAATGGAGGAAAACATTTCTAGAAAAAGCAGGACTAGAAAAGCGAGAGAAACAGGTCTAAGAAATGAGGGAGTTACGCCAATGAGGGAAACAGGTCTAAGAAACAAGGGAGTTATGCCAACAAGGGAAACGGACTCCAACGCCCATTGAAGAGCGTAGAAGGATACAGGACTTGGCCTCCGAAGCCCGTGGAAGAACTCGGAGGGGAAAAAGTGTCAGACAGGACAACAGAACTTCGGCTCCTAAGCACATAGAAGAGCGTGGAGGGGAAGCACAAGAGACTCCAAAGCCCACAGAGGAGCATGGATGGAAAAACTACAGCGAGGAAAAAACTCCAATGGTTTTCCAATAGCGAAGATAGTGGCTGGGGCAGCGAGAACTTACCTAGCCCCCGGAGGGGGTCCCGGTGCAGACAGAGCAGGTGCATGGACAAGGACAAGTTGAACAGAACCACAGATCATGACACCATGGGAGGACAATGCT